CGAACCAAGAGCAACGAGCTGTTGGTAAAGTTAAATGCCACGAGAATACCGAGCGATATGACGTTCCAGAGCACGTGAAAAGGCACAAAGACAGCGAGCACTGTCGCGCCCAGTCCACTCAACAGCGTGCCGCAGAAAGCAACGTGCCGTGTGCGTCCACGTCGGCAAACACTTTGGGCAGCAGGCCATCTTGTGCCATGGCTTAGAGCACCCGCGGCTTGCGCGAGGAACGCAATGACCGACGTGATGGGCATCGTCGCACTTCGCCCACGGCAACAAACGACGCGGCCCAGTCGAGGCCTACGCTCGTGAACGCCGCGCCAAAGGCTTCGTCGGCGTCAATGGCCGTGTACTTTTGCATGCCCACGAGCGCCAACGTCGCGAGCACGCTCAACGTCGCGGCGCCCAGGATCGTGCCGACGATCGCGCGGGAATGTTCGTGGCCGGGTCCTTTGCTTCGGCTGCGAGGCAACAGACTTCGTCGTAGCCAATGTAGCCGAAGAAACTCGCCGACGCGCCGACCAGCACGCCGGGCCAGCCGAACGCGACGGCGGGCGAGGCGACGGCGCTGTCGGACTCGTGCCCGGGGCTGCGCGTCGGGCACAAAGGGCACGAGGTTCGTCGCGCGGCAGTGCAGAGCCCACGACGATGATGAAGACCACGACCGCAATCTTCGTCATGGTCACGACGTTCACGAGCAGTTTGTTGGCGTCCATGCCGCAGAGCCCGACGGTCATGCACGTGGCGACCAGGAGCCCGGCGTAGACGTCGACGACCGAGTCCGGCGACGACGACATGCGGGTGAGCCACACTGGTGGATCTCCGCTAAAGTACGATTCGATTAAGTGCGACACCTTGGCGCTCCAGCTGCGGGCCCCGCCGGCGCTCGACACGCCGTACTCGAGCGTCAAAGAAAGCCGGCGAGGAGCGCCGGCAACTCGCCCAGGGCGTGGTAGGCGTAGGCGTACGTGCTGCCGGACGACGGAATGAGGCACGCGAGCTCCATGAAGCTCAGGCCGCTCAAGAGGCAGCCGAGGCCCGCGAGGAGCCACGACAGCGTTGCGGCGGGCCCTGCGTAGCGACTGGCAATGAGCCCGGCAATGGCAAAGACGCCCGAGCCGACGGTGCCGCCGATGCCGACCATGAGGAGGTCGAAGAGGCCGAGCGTGCGGCGCATCTCGACGGCGGTCGTAGCCGCGGCGGTCGTCGTCGTGCCATTGTCGTGGGGCGGCAACGACGCGGGGCGCAGGGGCTTGCGCCACAAGGCGAGACGCAGCGCGGACATGGCGGAACGGCGGGTGGGGGTCTTCGCTTAGGTACGAGTTGCTGTTGACGTGCGGTGGTTGCTGTTGTGCGTGCACAGAAACGAGACGCACGTGGGCATCGGAAGCGCGGCGTGAGTGAGGAGACTGTTTTGTCGATGGTGGGGGTAGGGGTAGGGGTGGGGAGTATTGCTTTTTTGTGTTTTTGGGTAGTGTGCGTGGAGAGGTCGGCATTGCAGCGTCGAGTGCAGGCGATAAGAACAGCGCGGAGGACGAAACGTCACAAAACCGACGCTCTTTTTTTCGTCGACGGCTTTTTGTGTGCGTCCAGTATGCCGTTTGACAGGTGTATTTGTCTCGTTCGGTCGAAATGGTCCCCCACCCCCCACCCTTATCTGCTAGAAACGCACAGCGCTTGACTCAATAGGTACGCATCTTGTCGCTCCCGCACCGTCGTCTTTTCCGTCGATTCAGAGAGACATCCCCCAGCACTACCAGCACCAGTAGCACCGTCAATAGCACCTATTAGCACCATGACGAAGGACGTGCTGTGCATGAATCCGGGTCCTATCGAGTTTGAGCCGCGCGTGCTCCAAGCTTTCGCCATGGAAGGCATTTCCCACGTGGACAAGACCGTGATCGAAGTCTTTGGCCAGTGCCTCGAGAAGATGCGCAAAGTTTTTCTTGGCGCCCGATGGCCAGCCTCTTATCGTGGCTGGATCGGGGACACTTGGGTGGGACATGGTGGGCGCGAACCTAGTGAACAAGGGCGACGACGTTTTGGTTGTCAACAACGGTAAGTACGGTTTTTGGTGCCCTTTCTGATTGGTGGATAAACGACAACTCACGGAAATGAACGCACGCGATGCGTTTGAACAGGATACTTTGGCGACCATTTCGGCCAGTGCTTGGAACGGTACGGCGCAACAACGACTCACGTTCGCGGCGAGGTAATTCGAAATGACAGGATATTTGTTTCGGGAGGAAGCATTGCAAACGAAAAACGCTGACCAATTCTGAGCACTTTGGTATACTGATTTGGTTCGATGATTGTAGATTGGCTCGCAGGCTTCAATCCTAGAGCTGGAAACAGTGCTGCAGCGTGACATCCAGTTCAAAGTCGTGGCCGTCACGCACGTTGACACGTCAACGGGTGTGTGTGCTCACGTGCAGGAGATTGCAGCTGCGATCCGTCGATTGCAGCCGGATGCTGTCATTGTGCTCGACGGGGTATGCGCTACCGGCGGGGAAGTTACTCGCATGAAGCAGTGGGACATCGACGTGGTGCTTACGGGGTCCCAAAAGTGTATTGGCGTGCCCGCTGGTCTGAGTCTGCTGGTCATACGCCCCCGTGCGCTGCAGTTGTTTGAGAACAACACGTCGACGGTCAAGTATTACGTGGATTGGCGCAATTGGCTGCCGATCATGAAGAACTACGAAGCGCGACAGCCAAGTTACTTTGCAACGCCGTCTGTGAACCACTTGTTCGCTCTGAATGAGGCGCTGGATATTCTGCTGGAGAACGGGGGCATGGAACAGCGCTTCAATGAGCACAAACTCATTGGAGACGCCGTGAAGGAGGCCATGACGACATTGGGCTGCTCGCTCGTGACCGCGGACGGCTGCGGGGCGAACACATTGACTTGTGTACGCTATCCTATTGGTGTCGGTGCGGCCGACTTTTTGCCAAAGGTTGTGAAGCGTGGCGTGTCGCTCGCGGGCGGCTTGCACAAGGCCATCAAGACGGAGTACTTTCGTATTGGCCACATGGGCCCAAGCACGCGTCGACTGGACCATATTCTGAAGACAGTGGACGCGATTGAGGGTGCGCTACTCGAGTGTGGTCACAAGGTGGCGCAACCCGGGAAAGCGGCTAAGGACCTGAGGACGAAGCTCGCGGCAGTCGTTCCTCTGCGTCCCGTACGTGATCAACCTGTGGTTTCCCACGGTTGCCCCGTGCCTCCGATGTGCCAGGTGTACTCTATCGGTGCAGTGGTCGTTGCATTTGCAGCTGGACTTATGATCTCGCAGCTGAAGCGTTCAACCCATTAGGCGATCACTTTGGGATAGCAGCGGAAGTATGGACAGAAGTTGCATGCTCGTGGTACATTCGAATAGCACTTGACGCTATGGACGTGTGTGTCCGTGGAGTGGCATCCACGAAAGCAGAGTGAGCTGTCTTTTGCTGCACGTCATAATGATCTTTTGCGCAGATAGTCCGTAGTGGAGATCTTGCAGGGCAGACGTCGTTGGCATATAATGGAACTGCCCGAAGTTATGACCAAGTGCAAAGTCAGGAGCGGACTGAATGATACGCAGGCTCTTGCGAGGTCGGTCATCCTACTCAGTCATGTGTGTGCCCACATGTCCTACACGTTTGCACTTTGAAAAGTACCCCACACTTTCGGTAATTACACAGCGACGCGGATCAGATCGATCAGTGTTTTGATCGACCTAGAAATAGATCTGCATTTGCAGATCTAGAAAGCGGTCCACACGTCCTCGATTTCGGGCGCTAAAGAAAGTCGACGCAAAGACGACATGTCGGATCACTGACGTCGTATACTTAGCTGCGACATTGAGACCAGCTCACAGCTCGACTTGGACGGGCAAAGTAGTCGCACGTAACATGCCGGCCACCAAATTCGACAACGCGGTATGTCATCGACCTCCTCTGTCTTCCACACAAACTCTGCTGTCGTCTTTACATCTCGTCGATGCTGTCTGTCAATGTATTGCTACCGTCTGATCACTAAGTAGGAATGTGCCAAGCTGCAGCGTGAATCGCTCAATTGCGTCCTCGGTACGTGGCCTCTCTCCTGTATCCACTTGATCGCTCTGGTTCCTCCATTGTCCCACTTGACCCCGTCGTTTCGTATCCAGATCATGAAGAGGACAAAACGGTCTGCCAGCCCTTCTTCGACCGGTACAACAAGTGTCTGAAAGACCGTCGCGAGCGTGAAACCGCAGAGCGCAGAGCGCGACGTTCTACCGGATAATCTTCGGGCCGTTGTGGCATCGTGGCCGGCCCTGCGTCAGTAGACCAATCGACCACAGCGCTACGTGAAGAATACAAGTGACTTGCTCGCTGACGCTACATCGTCGGCAGCTCCTTGACACCCGCCTCCTCGTCAGTCTCCAAACCAACCAGACCCAGCACGACTTTCGGTCGCTTCTCCATGCCGTCGGCGATCTGGTTGATGCCGTCCATTGCAATGCGTTTACGTGTCACCCACGCAGTCTGTTCACAATCGACACGGTGAGGAATGTTACACCGCGTCGAACCGCCAAACCAAACACGAATACTGTCGCACGCCGATGGATACGTACGCGGTATTGCGTAAACTTGCGCTTGAGAGCATCTTTTCTGCCAGGAGACAGAGGAGCTCGGCCTTGTTGATCCAAGGTCGCCACCTTCTTCTCCAGAGCCGCTGCTTCCTCGTCAAGTTGCTTCAGCATCGTATCCAACTCGATGTCCGAGACCTGCGAGGTAATACCCGCCAACGCAGTCTCTGCGTTCTTCAGCTGCTGCTCGAGACCAGTACATTCTGCAGTCACCGTCTTGATCTGCTCCTCCAATGCCGCTCGCTCTTCCTCTGACGGCACCGGTAAGTTGTCCTGGTTTACAAAGTAGACCTTTGCCTTGCCGTATGTCTTGCTCACGAGCTCTTTCCTAGCTCACCACAACACCATTCACACCGACACATTAGAACGTGCACTATCAAACACATTACGGCATCGGCTCTCGTCGTACTTGGCCACCAGGTTGTCCAGCAGCGTCGTCAAAGACGACTTGGCAATGGCGCGGTGCATGTTCTCAAACACATTCAGCAGACTGTACGGTCGATTGGTCTGTCCCGTCCCGAAAAAGCGATCCCATTGCAACGCATCAGTCTACAGCCGCTGCGTTATTGCAATAGAATACAACACACAATGTCCAATCAACAAATTAGACAGACCTTGCGCATGTAGTCGAGCACGGCAGCCTCTGCCTTTGCTGCTGTCATCGCCGTTGGCTTCGGAGGTACCACAGACTGTACAGTGGCCAGTGCTTTTTCCTTCTTCGTGTGTGCAGCTGTCTCAGGCCGGGAACCGCTCTCCACTACCGACCTCAACTTTCTCGCGTCTTTTGATCGAACGCTTTTGGTGTTGGCCCGTGGAGATTTCTTGCGACCTACAGCCGCTTTCTTCATATTGGACAGAGCTTTTGCGTCAACGTCCGACACGTCACTTGCAACAGAAACGACGTCGTCTTTTTCCGATCCACTGTCCTCGTCGTCCTCATCGGCTTCGTCTTCATCGAACGCAGACGATTCAGCTTCCAAGGAGTCCTCACCCAGCGAGAAGTCGTCGTCGTCCACGTCACTCATGGCGAGCGAAAAGGGCAGGAGGAGAAAGCGATAGCGATAGGACGACGAGAGGGATCGGAGTTGTAGGATGGACGTCCAGGACGACTACGGAAGGACGACGTCCTGCGACAGCTGAATTGACCGCACGAGAAGCGTCCTATAGTTTCCCCCTAGTTCGTCTATCTTGCTCGTAGCATGCAATCACCCAGGTTAGGTCCTACCTACAACTATAGGTTCATGCCGCGCTGCGAGCGTCAGTCCAGACTCGTAGTAGCTCGTCACACTTGGCGTGGAACTCGCAATGGAACTATCGGTCATACTTTCCGTGCCCGTGTTGAAACTATGGGACTTTGATATCGGCTTCTCCACGCCACCGGGTGTCGCGTGCGTTTTGACTGCTAGAGCGTCCACTTCTTCCTCTGTACGTTGCAGCTCGAGCGTCTCCGTTGCTGCGGCTGCAAATAAACCCTGGAACGCCTCAAAGTCCACGTAGCCCTCGTCTTTGCTGTCGATCGATGCAATCAGATCGCTCAGTTCTTGGGCGTCCATCGAGTGTCGGAAGACGTTCTGAAGTCCACTCGTCGACAACCGGCCCTGGTTCGTGCTATCCAAAAGGCCAAACGCCTCTTTGATCGTCGGTAGACTCACGTCGCGCTCGTCGATTGTTGCAGCCA